CATGGTCCATTGATTATTTTAGCCAGTTTCCTGATGCACTGAACAATCATTTTGATTGTCTCGTCATCGTACTCATAACGGATCCCAAACAGAACCTTACAGATGATGTTGGAGGCTGCGAAGTGAAACATCACCTGAGGACTCAGCGTTTTTCCTGGAAATAACGTGACAGAAAGACGAGAACATCACATCAACTGCAGAATAATGGGTTTAGTTAACATCAGTGTATGGATGACGTACCAATGCTTTTGTCAAGCGTTTTTATGATGAATTTGGTCTCTTCGTGGATTCTCTCTTCCATGGATTTCTTTCCTAGACCAAAGTTTTTCAGAGTTTTCAGTGCAAAACGACGATGGTCCCTCCAAAAGGAGCCGTAATCGGCCAGAATCATCCCTAAAACAAGAAGACAAAAATGATCAGGTCTCTCTTGTAAATGAGTCCTCAAGGCTCAGTGGGATTTACTTGTCTAAATAAAGGTTGAATGGAAAAAAAAAAACCTTCTGCTCAGTGTCTGTGGATGTACAGAACCAAACAACCACACACATTTGTAAAAATTCAAATAAAATTAGGACATTTTTTTCAGTCAAAGGAATGTTTTAAAAAGGAATCAGGATTAGCAAAACTTCATGTTTGAATTTCACAAATATTTGAAATCAGCCCTGAATCAGAAAACTGCATTTGATATACACCAAAGTTGCTGCTGAATAAACTTTGTGTCATCATTTCAGGACTCTTGGATCCTTAGAGGTTATTGGCCATTTCTCAACATACCTCGAGAATGTTTATGGATCTCACCGGAGGACATTGACTGATTACAGTGACCTCGAGCGCATCTATAAGCATTGTTGACCGCTCTCGTCTCCTATTGCAGAATGTCTACGTAAATATGTGCTTGTTTTTGAGAGGTGTTTTTTTTAATATTAGAGGGGGTTTTTTTTTCTCAGGCAAGAAAAAAAAAGTCTGATAAGAATTTTTTCCGCCTCCAACTCCTACATGTGTCCAGTTAACCACTGTTTTCGTCTGTCCAAACAGGTCTCACTTGTAAATGAGTCTTCGAGGCTCAATGTGATTTATCTGTTTAAATAAAGGTTAAATGAATGAAAAAAGTCCATGCTCAAAAATCCAGGTATAAAATCCATCAATGTTCAGTCACGCCATCTGGATGGTTTCTTTTTTTTGTGCTGAGACATTTCACCTTCCATCCAGAAGGCTTCATCAGTTTGAGGAAACCAAACAAAACTGATTCCTCCTCCAACAGCTTATCCCAAAGTGGAAAAAAACAGTTATGTTGGTGCTAAGATGGCCTCTGGGGTACGCCCTCTCCTCCGGTGCCCTCCCTTCTCCCTCGTCAACAATCATGTGAAACTGGTTCAAAACACCAAAGTCCATGCTCAATAATCCAGGTATAAAATCCAACAATGTTCAGTCAGGTCATCTGGAAGGTTTCTTTTTTTTGTGCTGAGACGTTTTTCCCTCTATCCAGAAGGCGTCATCAGTCTGAGGAATGAATTTGATATATCTTTAGAAATTACGGCACATAGTTTTTATTTAAAACCAGCATCTCTCCATCAGTTTTATAGTATCTTGATCTCTGAAGAGTTGCAGAGAACTGGTGCATGCTTCATGACAAGTCAGCAGCAGTCCATCACAGAGACAAGCAACCATTCATTCTCAAGTCTTGGGATGATTTAAGGCACCATTTAACCTAGCCTGCATGTTTTAGGATTGTAGGAGAAAACCAAAATACCTGACATAAACCAACATGTGCACGCAGGAAAGATCAGTCAAGAGTTAAAACAAGGATCTTCTTGCAGAGAGGCAACACTGCCAACCTGCTGCTCCACCGTGCAGTTGATTTGAGATACATACCTTTACTCTGAGTTAGATCATTGATAAAAAGGTCTTGGGGTCGTCCAGCAAAGTCTGTGGCCTTGACCACCATTGCCTCTTTCATGGTCTTAAATCCATTGATGACCACAGCAGGTTTGGACCCGATGAACAGACTGTAGACATATCCATAAGACTGTCTCAGCTGAAAGGAGACAATAAAAATGTCCAGTTATTTATTTATTTATTTTAAGTGCTGCCAAGGTTAGTCTCTGTGATGCCCTCCAGTCCTTCTCATTCTGTCTATAAGTATTTGACAGGTCTAAGATACCGGGGGACTTATGGGTCATGTAGCAAACCAATGTGGCATTTGACAAACTGCATCAAATGACAGATAAAGAGATTCATAGCAACTGTAATATCAAGACTAGAAAGCTCCATGAGAAAATTTGATGGGGACTGCCACATTTAAAATTTTTCATTTGACATTACTTTGTGTTGGGTCTGAGATGGACTTGCAACCTGTCCAGGGTGTACGCTGCCCCTCGCACAGTGATTGCTGGACATGGGCACCGGTGACCCCTGTGACCCAAAATGGAAGAAGCGGGTAAAAGATAATGGATGGATTGTGTTGGATCTTGCTCTCAGCTACTATCACACCAAATTTCAGTTCAATATCTCAAAGAATTACTGAGTTATAGTTAATTTTCTGTTTTCTTAGGCAGTTGTCGTTGCCATCTTCAACTAAAATGTCTTCAGAAGTTAATCAGTTCTAGAGATGACTACTTTCTTTGAGTTTCAAAAAAATCCAACAAGCTGTTGCTAACAGTCTGACAATCTAAGTTTACATGGTATTTCTAAATGTGTTTCTGAAGTCATCAGATGTGTATGTGTGTGTGTGTGTGTGTGTGTGTGTGTGTGTGTGTGTGTGAGAGAGAGAGAGAGAGAGAACAGTGTACAGTAAAACAGATGCATAAGAGGCAAAGTGGCTAATTTGGCAAAATCTTGGTTCAAACAAACAGCTGCTGTGTAAAAACTATAAGATCTATTGAAAAACTTCTTGAATCATGAATGAGACTAGACTGATTCTCATTTATGTGAATTTTTAAATTTTTACAGCACTATCAGTCTCTGCTTCCCCACCATCACAGACATTTACACCTCTAGAGAGCCACCTGCATCATGAAGGACCCCACTCACCCAGCACACGCACTTTTTGCCCCACTCCCCTCAGGAAGGAGGCTAAGGAGCATTAAGTGTAGAACCAATAGACTGAGGAACAGCTTCTACCTTGAGGCTGTTAGACTCATGAATCTCTAATCAAGATAATCACTGTGAAAACGTATCATGTTGCTGCTGATCTGTTTCATGTTGATGTGTTCATGCATGCTCATCTGCTCACACAGACTCGTGTTCGTGCTGCTGTTCGGCGTATTGTTTTTATGCTACTAGTGCTTAGTGTATTATTTAGTTGATGTTTTTCTTAGTTCATATCTTAGATCTTATTACTGTTCTTTTACATTTTATTGTTGGATGTAACTAGGATCCTGTGTACATAATTTCGTTCCACCACATGAACCACACGGGGTGCAAACGACCATAAAGAAACTCTGACTCTATACGTCAGAGATATGATGAAATAAAAACACTCCTCACAATTCGATCTGAACAATAAAGTTGGCAAAGTTAAAATGGGAAACATGGAGCTGAAATGATCAGACACTGTATTTTAAAGCACCTCGCAAAAACCATAACTCTTACAACCAAACCAGAAATACTGGTGGAAAGACGACAAAAACATTTTGATGTATTTTAAAAGATGTGGAGGTAGGAGGAGTTTGTTCGAAGACTTTCTGAGTTTTCTTCAGGGACCTCTACTCGGGGTCATGTGACCTCACTGTGGCAGTTAGAGGCTGTTGAGTTCTGTCAGTATTTTTCAATGAAAAAATAGCGTCTTTGTTGGCAAATTACATCACCATAGTAAGTCAAATGCCAAAAAAAGTAATAGCTCACCTCACAATGCTGAGCCGGTCGTTTTGATATAACATTTGTGGGGGTACACATTGCGGTTCGGGTCACATTAAAGTTGATCAAGACTCTTTTCATGTGGATAATAACAGGTGGCTGCCTTTTTAGGCAGTCCTCATTTAGAAGAAAAAAATCTTAACAGAGCACAAAACAGCTCAAATTAGCAGAATACTACCTAAAAATAACTGAAAAAAGCACTAAAAGCTGAGATTAGCATAAAAAGGCTGTAAGCAGCTGAAAAGATAAAACGTGCAGAAAAAAGCTGAACTGTAGTTGAGAAAGAAGATAAAAGATGAAATAACAGAAAGTAGCTAAAAGGAGCTAAAGAAAGCTTATTTGCAGAATGTTGGTAAAAACCAGAACTAGACCAACAGATGAAATGAGCAGTTAAAGGCTGTAAACAGCTCAAAGGGTTTGAAGGACATGGAGAGCTCCATTCATTTTCAATGAGTAAAACATGGCCGACAAAGCTAAATATTTCCAAAAGTACAAATTGCACAAATACTAAAAGTCAGAGAAGGAATGTCCAGATTGAGCCAAACGTTTTGATTTATGAATTGCTGTAAAAGAACAAATACTGCAGAATGAGTTACCTGCTGAAAAACATGCAGAAGGAAAATGGATCTCAATCGTGAGAATGATTTGGAAACATTCACAAAGTTAATGAACCTGCCAGGCAAATAAATATCTGCACATTAATATTAGGCCATATTTTGGATTTTGAGTAAAACTTTAGTTCTATTTTGAAACAGAAAATGCAGGAATCCCCCACAGAGTGGGTTTTAGATGAGCAAGACTTGTGCCCTGAACTCCATGAGTTTTAGCATTGACCTTTTGTGAACCTAATCAAGGCGAAATACGAGAAAAAAAAAAACTTCACCGGAGAACTTCGCTTTCCTATCAACTCATCAACACTAAACGATAAAGTCAGCAGTTTGAGCTGTAAATACTTGATGGGTAAAGTTCATATTTTCAGGCAGTGAACTCTGGTTTTGGCAAAATTTACTATGTTAAAGAAGTACAACATGTTCTCTGTTATTTCTTATTTAAAATTTAAAGTAAAAAATCAGCAGCATTTGTTGCAGCACTCTTTTTACCTTCTCAAAGTCCTTTAAGGGGTTCTTTGACGTTAGGTGCAAAAGGTTACCCAGTATCGGCAGGGCGGGGGGTCCTGGTGGGAAGTTTTGGGGTCTCCGAGGTTTAAGCTGAAGGAGGATGAAGCAAACACAGAACCACAGCAGAACTACGTAGACCATCATGGTTTGGACTGGACTGCACCGAAGAGAGAAGCCGACTGATCTTCAGCTCAGCTCTCAGCTCCTGTACTTTGATTCTTCGCATCGTGGTGCGTGAGAAGGTCAAATAAATAAATGTAGAGAACATCAAGAAGCAAGATATCATTGTGTAGCAATGATTGGTC